TGACAAAAACTGTTGTAAGGAAAAGAATCTCCCACATCTTGGAAGAAACCCGGCACTGCTAGAGAGCTAGCAACACCCTCCTTTCCTACCTTCAGGGCAGACACACATTTTTCCCAGGAAATATTCTTAATACAGCATTAGGGTCTTTGATAACCTCTTGGAATTTTCCTTACTTTGACCAAATTAAGCAAGGGAGAAAGGAAGCATCTGAAACATAGGTCATGGCAGTTCAGTGGGGAACTTTAATCTTGGCTTTATTCATATTTGGAAATAAACGCTTAAAGACGTGAATTTGTTTTTATTTGTCAACAGAGAAACAATGTAAAGTTTAAAATCCTTAGCCCACCCTCAGCCCTGGTGGAGCGTCACGCTCTGGATGCCAGCAGGCTAGTGGTTCTGCGACGAAGGAAGGCATGTTTCTACCCCAACTGACTTAGTTTTTCCAAACCGAGATAAAACAAATAGATCAGTCTAGATACATAGCCCCCAGCCTTGTGTGTGTGCAGCGTGACAAAACTTGCAGAAGATCTCCACAGAGAGAAAAGGATGGAGATGGATATCTTTGGAGCACCCTTAGAACTGGTACCTGCCACCCAAACTGCCCCTGAGTGCTTTGAGAGGCAGCAAAACAGGCTCTCGATAAGCTCATCAACTTTATAAAGAAAGCTGCTTGCAAAAGATTTCCACACTTGCAAAGATAACCAAGCCTGAACCCACTGTAATCCGAAGGGAACTTTCCTGCCTCAGCGTGGACTGAGGGGCTCAGACTCACGGCTGCCCCATCCCAACTTCACCTCTCAGAGAGGAGAGCCAGGAGCCACATCCTTAAGAAGGGGCTGAATGCATCTTTTCCTTTTTGTTTAAGCATCTCTGAAAGGAGAGCAACTTCTCTGGCCCCCACAGCCTCGAAGCATCCCCACCAGCACCCCCACTCCCTTTAAGGATGTGGTAGAAGTGAGGGCTTATCTTAAACAGGGACAATCATTTCTGCTCATCTGACTGTTTCTCTTGTAGAATCCAAAGCCCTGAAAACATCCAACTTTATCCCTTTTCTTCACCACTGAAAACCAGAGACCAAAGGCGTTTGTAAAAATCTCCCCCACTTTCCAAACAATCCTCAACCTTTTAACTGAAACTTTGAAGGAAAATCAAATTTAACTTTTCATTCTTTCTTCCATTTCCTCCGCCCCCCAATCCACTCCTAATTCAGTTTTCATTTAAAAGACAACTTCATTCACTTTTCTGAAACAAGCAGTTTCCCGATTTGATTTTTGTTATAACGTGCATGTGTATGTGCAATTTTTCAGAGGCTGATGCTGGAAGATGGTGGGCTGGGGAGGCAGGCCTATATTCCCAGGCTCCGCAGGAGGCAGGAGGGAAGCCGCAGCATCTCCAGGAGCCGATGCCTGAATCAGGGGCTAAAGCAACAAACTTTGCAAGTTACAACTGGGCTGAGCCAGTGGCAGGCAGGAGCCGGGCATCTCCCGCTCCGAGCGCTCATTTCTGACTCGAAGGCTGTGTGGAGATAGTGGGGTATAATCAGGGGAATGGAAGAGGGGGGCTGGGTTTTCCCCCTCCTCTCCAGCTTCAGTGAAAGTGTTACCAAGTGAGTCAGGCGACTGAAGATCATCTGACTGAACTTTCTTGAAACCGACACACATTCTTGTCTGCCGGCAACTTGCTTTCTGCCTCCTTCCCCCTCACCCCTCTCCTCCTTTCCTTCTGCACATCTTATTTTCTGGGAAGAGATTTCATCCTTTCCATGTGGGGGAAAGGAGACTGCTCGCTATGGATTAACTTGGCCCTGGCCCTGTCTTTGCCAGACATCTTGCTAGCCTGAGAATCTTGAAGGCTGTATTTTAGATTCTTGTTTCTCTCCTTTCACATTTGTTTTCCTCGAACTGCCTCCTTCTCCTTTGCTTTTTAATAATTGTATACAGCATAGTCTTCGAACCCACGTTCTTGACTAGCTTTTCAAACACACACACACTGCTTTACGTGTTTTATCTCCTTGTCGCCTTAGTCTATATATACACTGTTGACTTCATTAAAATTATATAAAGTGCCATTCTAGTTTCCTGGATGACCACTTTTTTTTTTTCTTGCAGCTTCTACTTCCATAATTAGTATTGCCATTATTCCTTTCCAGGAATTTCTATATGATTTTGATAAGCATCATCATATTTAGTGTTATCAGCAAAGACACAAGCTCAAAAGTGACATCTTTTCCATGAATCCAGGAAAGAAGAAAAATCCACTCAGTTCAGATAAATCCTGGCAATTCCCAAAGGGAAAGGCATTGGATACATGCTTGATGAGAAAGAAAATGAAAAAGGGGGAGAAGAAACTCTTCTACCTGCTTCTTAAAACCAGGACATTGCTCAGTGATATTAAAACCAAAGAAAAATACTGACAAATAACCAACGTGCAGCACGTTTTTTCCAAAGATTATTTGGAAAAAGAGACAGGTAGCAGTCAAAGTTAGAGAAGCTGTAATCGATGGATAGGCTTGCCGTTAAGTGTGCAGACTCTGGGCTAAATGCCTTAAAATGTGCAATTCAACTTTCCATTTCGGAGTGTTGAGGCTTCTCCCAAGTTACTGGCTGGGCGGAGGGGGAAGTGGTTGCAGTGTCCATGGCTGAGCACCTCCCCGGCGCTCCGTTTCACCTGCGAAGCCCCCAGCCGGCCTCCCTCTCTGCCAGCCCCCCCTGCCCAGGGTTCCCAGGAAGCCTGGAGCCCTCCATTTCCCCAGACCTGGGCTCCGGCCTGACCTCTCTGCCGGGGCCAGGCTGGTCCTCGGTGGCAAAATCCCGAAGGGGGTGGGAGGAGGCAGGCAAGAAGAAACAAGCGTCCTAAATAGTCTCTCCTGCAAAAGAACACTTCTGGGAACCTTGCTTTAAATCTCATTCTCTTTTCTCTCAAAAAATGACTGTTTAACATAAGAACAAAAATGCCTCCATGACACAAAGCTTTTGTTATCCAGTTGATCAGCAACGTGCTTTATATACTTGTAAGAGGGGGAAAAAAAGCCCCACAACAGACATTGATTTTAGAAAATCAATAACCAACATTTAATAAAAGGAACAGAGGAAACACAAGAGAGGAGAGGGGGACATTAGGTGTAATTTTAGTGTCTACTAAATTACCCAGAGATGGGGAAGGGGAGGTCTCCTGCGTAAGGACCACCTTAAATAATGCCAGACACCAGAGTGAAGAAAAAATTAAATTAAGAGAGAAAGAGAGAGAGAGAAAGACAGAGAGAGAGAGACAGAGAGACAGAGAGAGAGAGAGAGAGGGAGAGAGACTGACTTAAAAGAGGCAGCCTGAACTGGATCTTGGGGAAGCAGCTCGGAATATATTATTGTACTTGTTTTTTTGTAATACTAAGCCAAGCCAATAGATCAAAGGCAGCACAAAGGGAAAAGGCAGGATAACGTAACGAACAGTTTCTGACTAAAATTCCTCTATCACTCCCCCATATGGCTCGACACCTCCACCACAACAAGCAAAAGACACACACACACACACACACACACACGCACACACACGCACAAAACCTAGAGAGAGACAGAGAGACACAGAGAGAGAAGCATCACTTGTCTCTAATCAAAATTCTCTCGTCTTTGTGTTTTCCTCCCTCCAGCACCCCACACTGCGCCCCCAGCCGCCCCCTCCCCGCGCCGGGCAGCTCCGGGGCAGGCCGGGGGCGCGCGCGATTGTCTTCTCTGGAAGAAAGTTGCTCCAAGTGGGCCCGGGCGCTCCCCGCGAGCCGAGGGCTGGGCTTGCGGGAGGCCGGAGGCCGGGCTGGCGCCGCGTCCCCGCGGCCAGCTCGGGAGCGTCAACGCGGCCCCGCGCCGGGTGATCGGGCTCAGAGCGAGGGGAACGAGAAGTTTCCTTTCCCAGTCTGAGCTGGCGCTAGTTCGCTTGTTTGTTTTGGGGGGTTGGTTTTTCTTTTTAAACTCAGTATCCTCCGTCAGCTCCCCCTCGGCACCCTCTCTTGTCCCCAGCTCTCTCCCCTCCCCCAGGCGCCTTCTGCGCTCTTGCCAATCACTTTTCTCTTTTATTCCCACGATTTTGTTTGGGGGTAATACCTAGGGGGTCGGTCTCTCTTTCTCTCTCTCTCCCTGTCCCTTCTCTGCCTCTCTCCAAGATGGACCTACTCAACTGTCACCCCTTTAATCGCCCACTGCTGGTCCGTATGGCCCCCTCGCACCCCCATCTCCTTCCTCCTTCCTGACTCAGCCTGGATAACGGGCTCCTCCTGACCATGCAGAAACTGCCCAGAAAAAGTCTCCTTGCGCTTTTCGACTCCGCCAGCCCCCGGCGTGGGGCCAGAGCCCGCCGGAGAGGACCCGCCCGCCCCGGAGCCCGCACAGACCCCGCCGGACCCCGCGCGGGGCCGGCCGAGTCCCTCCCACCCCGGGGGCCGGGCGCGCCCGGCCGGGCCCCGCTGCCCGCGGACCGTTACTTGGTGTACGGGGAGGCGGCCGGGAGACTACGGCAAGAAACTTTAAGCCCGGCGGAGGCGCAGCCCCGGGCCCCCTCTCCCGCCCTCGCAGTTCCTCTGCCACCCCCGCCCCCGCCCCGGGATCCTGCACGACCTGGCGCCGGGGCCCCCGCCCTGCCCTCGCCGGACGCTCCCGCTGCCTGGCCGGGGACCCGGCGGGCCCGGCGCTCGCGGAGCGGGAGGCGGAGGCGGAGGGAGGGCGGAGGCGGGGGCACGAGGGGCGGCAGGGGTGGGGGCGCGGGGCCCCGGCCGGACCCCCGCGCTCGGAGCCCCCCGGCGCCCGACGCTCACTTTGCCCGGCACTTCCCCAACTCCCCCCGGTCCAGTGGCCGCGCGCGCCGGGCTCCGGCGCCGGCCGCGGAGGGAGGCTCGCCCGCGAGCCCTGGGCGCCGCCGCCGCCGCCGCCTCGGTTCCTTTTCCCTTTCCCCCTCCTTCTCCCTGGGTCTCGAGCCCCGGAGTGGCCCGGAAAAGTTTGGTTCGGGCCGCTTCTTACCGTTTTTCCTCCTGGGATTGGCTTGTTTGCGCCTCTTGCACCGGGGGCCATCCGCCATGATCGGCTGCTTCATTGATAAGAGCGGATCAGATGGCAGTTCGCATGGACTCGGCGCCCTGCTTCGGCAGCACGCAGGCTCGATCTAGCAACCAAACACAGCGACAATGTGGGCATCGCCCGCGCCCATTGAAACGCGCGCGGGCCGCCCAGGGGAGCCGGGCCAGGGCCCCGGCGAGCACCCATCCGCGCCCCCCAACGCCAAAGCGAAACTTCGGCGGCCCCCTCCCCGCCCCCCACCCGAGCCTTGGCCCCAAGGCGCTTTGTGTTTGTTACTGTTTGGTGTGTTGCACCCGCGAGGGGATCAGAGAGACAAGAATTACATCTTCAAAATGAGTCATAACTCCTGACCGTATGAGGGAATGCACACGGCGGTACAGTAAGGCTGCTTGACTCAGGGTTAGGCGGACCCTTTCCTCCGAAAAGTCCTCAGCCCGGCTCGAGAACTTGGGGTGAGGCGAGGCTTTCTTTCGCTCTCATCTTGTCTCACCCCCCGCCACCCCATTCCCCAGAGGAAACAAACAAACAAACAAACAAACAACACGAAACAGCCCCCGGATGAAGCACACTCGGGCAAATTGATAATAGTAATTATAGGAAGCCCACTCGCCCGCGCCCCCTCCCCTCCCCTTTTGGAGTTTATCGAGGCACTGTCTCTTCCTCCCCCCACCCCCCCGCCCCCAAATTAAGATTTCCCGTTTCACGCCGCAATAAGAAATATAATTATAAGCCTCTTTGGACACTGTCCCTCCCCCCCCCACCTCCGCCACTTTGACAATATTTACTTAAGTATTTCCCCCCACCTCACTCATACACATGCTCCCCCACACTGGTTCCCTTAAATAGTTCCAGTAGAAAAAAATTTTTCCCCTCAAGAAAGGAAAGAGAAAGTCCAACCGCTACGGCAATACTTTTAAGCTCTACTAAATGATCGTATCCTTTCTGGCTTCGAAACTTTTGTACCTAAAAATCGAGTGAGGCGCTGCATTTTTTTCAGCTGAAACTGTCAAAACTTGGAGAAGGGGAACCTCCGAGGCAGGCAGGAGAGGAGGAGAATCCCGAAACTCGGTGGAGGTTGGGAAGATGCTGCGCCTCGAGGATTAGTTTAAACAGGGGGCTATAAAAGATGTAACAGATGCAAACTGTAACACAAGGGCCATTAACCCTTTCTCTGCCGAGCACACTCAGTCCCCACGCCCCGTACCTATTGTCTCCTGTGCTAGAAGCCTAGCAGAAAACCTGGAAAGTGAGTATCAGTTTCCACACATTTGCTGAGAGGGGTGGGGGTGGGGGGGGGGCGAGAGATGGGGAAGTGGATGATTTAGAAAGCACCTTGAATTTAACCTAGGCAGAGTGGGAGACTTAATTTAATTCAAGTTTGACACATTTTGTCATTTCTTGGCTCTCCTATTGATTTGAAATTGTTGGGGAAAAATCCTGAAATAAAGAAATGGTCACACAAGTGTCTGGGATGAAACAGCTGGCCTGTCTGTATTCATGCTGAGACTTACACACGATTGCATATAAATACATGTTTAATAAAGTAAGCTGCTAGTTTTATGAGCATGTGTGTGTGAGGGAGAGACAGGGCATTTGTGCTGTAAACTTTATCTTTGCCTGTTATTTCTACCTCTGGAGTTAGTAATCTTGCCTTCATCATTATAGGGGGAGCATGTAAAATATGTGAGTAGGTGGGAGATAAACACATTCATGTTAGCGGGGCTTACCACTGCTCCTGGGAACTCCTGCTATCTCTCTACTTTTCAGTGCCAAAGTATGGAATGGGGGTATGTGTGTGTATGTGTCTCCTGTTAAATCCATGTCTATATCACTTTGCCATTTAAAATACAATTTCAAAAGTTATCCTTAATTTGAAACCCTGATATTCTGACAGCAGTTTTCTTCCCAGCTGTAGTGACCCCCCCCCCAATTTGGTGAACGACTCAAGTTCCATGAGGACTTTCACTTCTTTATTTATCATCACAGAAGTGAGGTGTTACTTCACATACACACACACACAAAGAATGAAATAAAGAAATGAAACTCGCTAAGCAGACAAAAACAGACAACTTTCTGCTTAGAAAACAGCCTTCTCTGGTGGGCAAGGATGGACGGCCATATCTAAGAGAAAGACTTGCCCCCGAATTTAGTAGTTTTGTATAATTTATTAACAGGTATTTGCCAAGTTTTAATTGCTGAATACAATGAATTGGAACTAGGTGCGAAAATAGAGCAGAATCTCTCCCCTTGAAGAGTTTTATTCCAACCATATAGTTCTCAATAAAACTTTTCCTAGGCTGGGTAGCAAAAGGCACCTTTGGTTACCTGAATGGACAGGTACAGGGCAAATTATTTGGGGGAGGAAAAAAGGAGAGAAAAGGAAGGAAAGCGGGCGGGAGTGCGAGAGAAATCAAAGAAGTCACTCTTGGGAAAAGCTTGCCACAAAGGAGCTAAACCCACCTGAAATTCCTACCCACAGACACTCCTTCTCACTTCAGACTCACATCCCCACTTAAAAGGATAAAATCATAAAAGGAGGGTGGAGGATGACCATACCAAAAAGGAATAAAAAGAGAGAAAGGGGGGAAAAAAACCTACCTGCGAAGTCTTGTTTGTAGTTTTGGCCAGAAATGGTGAGAAGAAAAAGCATGAAGAAGCCGCGAAGTGTGGGGGAGAAAAAGGTGGAAGCGAAGAAACAGCTCCCGGAGCAAACTGTACAAAACCTCGCCAAGAGTGTCGGGAGACAGGACCGTTATTCCTGCGGAGCAGGTTAGAACTGATCTCTTTTCGGCCACTCCAGGAAACACAAACCTGGGGACGGACTGACGTGTTACGCCTCTTCTAATGACATTTTTTTCTTTTTCTTTTCTGTAAGAGAGACCCTGAAACACGCGCCACCTATCTTTGTGGGGAGGGATAATTGAAGCGCCCTGAGCGTGAGCATCATGTGAAAACGTGATCGCCAAGTTTCTCTCTGGGAAAGGATCTGGGATAGATTATACCTTGAAGTCTCCGCAAACGCTTTAGTGGAAGAAATGAAATTCCACCTCCCTCCCTTCCTCTCTCCCTCCCTCTCGCCTCCCTCCCTCCCTTCTCCACGCCCCCCCAACCCCCCCCAACCCCCCCGTCAAGCCTTTGGCATCATTATCCTCATCACTAAATCCTACAGAGTACTGGGCGGAAAACGGTGCACACCATTCACAGAACTGGAGAACTCTAAGGGGCGAAAGTTAAAGGGAAAGCTCCCAGGTCCTCAATCCAGATCGCCTCTTCTTACGCAGATATCTCTAATGACCAGATTTGAGATGCACATTGAGTTGTGTGGATTTCTCAGCACGGCTTCTGGAACTAAATTCTTTGCCCTTTCTCTCAATTTTCTTTTTTTCCTTTTAGATGCCAAAGCCAGAAAAAAAAAAAAAAATGCTGCATGTGAACTGCATCTTGGGGCGGGTGTGTTGGGGGGTGTGTGTGTGATGAATTTCTGGATTGGATCCCAATACTAAAAAAGTAGTTTGGCATTTTTAAAAAGGGTCTCTAAGTAAATTACCATAGAGCGCTGGGTTGACCGATCTCTGAATCCCTCTACATCTCACGCAGACCTCACTACAAAGTGAGGGAGTGTACGTAGGGAGGCAAGAGGAAAAGGAGGAAGGCCATAGAGAAACTTAGCAGGGAAGGAAGAGCATGATATTAAACGGCATGGGGTCTAAGTTTTGGAGTATATATTTTTTGATGTTGCAATTAAAGTAAAATTAAAAAAGAAAAGACTCCACCTTTGCTCTGAAGGGATTGGTTATGTAAATATGGAAGGGATTTCCTGGAGAATACAGCTTTCTACTGTATGGTTAATTAAATAATCACTCAAAAGCTTCCAACGTGACGCTTCTGTCGTAATCCAATCAGGTTACATAGGTCCTAAACAAGAAAGATATTTTCCACATCTGGAAGTCAGCAATTTAGCAAGTACTGCACATTATTAACCAATTCAGAGCCCACTTCCCAGGGGAATTTTTTTTGAAGTTTAAGTGTTCTTAACCAATGCTCTGCTGTTTTGTTAATCAAAAAGCTGGTTTACACTGCACATAATTGGAACTAATATAGAAGTAAATAAAGACAGCCAAATTTGAGGATGCTGAGCACAGGCATTTATCGGAAAAGGAAGAAATCTCTTAGCCTCCAATGGTTCAGGCTCAATTTCTTAAAGGACTTTGAGGCTTTTTTTTTTTTTTTTTTTTAAAGAGTGAAAGTGCTTGAGAACCTCAGAGCACAAACTTCCAGTGCCACAGCCTTTGGGCTCCCTTGCAAAGGTAAAGGTGGAGGCGTGAAGAGGACTAAAGAACAGCCTCACGCCAATTTTTCTGCTTTAATATTGTTAATATGTTACAGCCCTCTGTTTTCAGTCTGATGAAATCTGAAACAAATAATACCCTGATCCAACACTAGACTTTTACTTATATTAAGATAAACTGCTTTGAACTGTGCTTTGAGTGTGTGCCTAAAGCAAGACTTTGAATGCAAGAGTCACTGGCAATTGCACTCAAAGGAGGGAACAGTCACCACATGGATTGCCACATCCATACTCCCAGAGGTGCACGTCTTTGTATTTTGTATGTTTATTTTTTGAGGGGGGGGGGGCAATAGCCACCCAGGATGACCACAGCCAATTCTTATTGTAGGATGTAAGAAAGTAAATCTTCACAGTTGGTTACAGACTTTCTTCTTTCCTAACTTGAGTATTTATTACAATGAGAAGAGCTGGACAAATTAATCTCCCCCACCTCATTACAGATAAATTACCTATAGAAGAGGGGCATTCAATATGGTCAGTCTAAAAATTAATAATAAAAAAAGAAATTATAGCTTTCCAACATAGGTCAGACACATTCTAAATTTTAAGTTTTACATTTCTTTTAATATTACATATTTTTATTAAATATATGTATGACTTATCAAGTTCCTCCTCTGAGATTTATCTTTATTATTAATATATTTTCCCCCTTTTTTATTTAAAAAACTTAGAGTCCAGCTTTCTCTAGAAGTTTGCTTTTCAACCTTCCTCTCCCATTCCTGAGGAAGCAGCAGCCCACTGCATGGAATGATTCCAGGCAATACCCCACTCCAGGAGCCCAGACACATATTCACAAGCAAAACCTCAGGTCAAAGGCTCCAATCGAACGGCTAACAAATCACTTGTCTTTATTATGTATATTAATGTCAGGTTACCTAGGATTTGACTTAAAAAAAAAAAAAGACTTTTAAGTATTTCCATTAAAAACACCTAATCATCTGATTACTCTGGCTCAGTAATTGTTAAAGTGGCAAGAGGCAGCCCCAACACTTAGCACTGGGAGTTCCGACACGCAAGTATTTGATTTGGGGTAAAAAGGCAATCTTTCAGGTTCCCATCAAGGTGGATATTTGGATGGTGGCACGGAAAGGGTCCCCGCAAATCGTGAGCGCGCCTGTAGGTTGCCCCCTGCCCTCCCTCCCCCCCCCCCCCCCGCCCCTGCCTGGCACGCCCCTGGCACTCCTCTCCCCATTTGACCGAGAGAGTTCCCACCAACGCAGAAGCGGTGAGATCGGAGGAAGCCGGAATATAAATTTGTTCCGAACACTCCCTTAGTCCGAAGGCCAGGTCGGGGACAATGGGGATCGTGGGATCAGCGGGATGCAGGAGAGCAGGACGCAGGGAAAAGTCGAGTGAGGACTGGGGGCTGCTGGCTTTCGGCTCCTCACACAGCAAAGCAAGTCCTGCAAATGAATCGCTGTTTCCCCGTCTGTCTTCCCTATTAATAATCCATTTCGAGATTAGCGCAGACGAAGGGGATTAAAACAACAGATACATGCAAATGTGAAATAATATTGCAATCGACATTGGAGGGAGGAAAATAATTGTTTAGGGTTTTTTTGAGTAAAACAAACTGCCTCCCTCAGGATTCCCTCCACCCAGGCAGGGTGAGAAGATGCACTTTTGTTTTCTAATTCCCTCCAGCCAGGACCTGGTGCCTGTCCCCCCCATTCACCTCTCAGTCTGTCAATTTCCTCAACTTTCACAACCGCTCCCCACGTCTCGCCTGCCGCCAGCTCCGCTTGCCGGCCCAGATGCCCGAAGAGATACAATGTTTCTGCCCTTGAACACGCAGGCTGTAGAAGGAATTCGAATTTGGCCACAGCTAATGATTTTTTTTAAAGCAAATTCTGTTTATTTTATACCATGTGGAGAAAATAAAAGAAGGAACCTTTTCTCGTTTTCAAGCGGAATTGATCTTTCATCTAGAAGAATTATTTCGACCTGATGGTGTTACGCAGGAGGTGGGCAACTTCTTTCAGAGTTGCAAGCAAAGGGTGATAAGGGGGACCCCTGGATTGGGTGTGTGTGGAAGGGGTGAGGGGCGGCAGGGGTCCAAGGCAAGCCAAACGGTTTTCTCACGTGCAAACTCGCAATCCAATCCATTCGGAGTTGAGCCTAGGATAGGAGGGGAAAGTCTATTAAAAAAAAAAAAATCAGGAGCATCTCTCTGAGAAGCCCTTTCAAACAAAATCAAAACAGGACCAGAGAACCTCAGACCGTCCCTAACATCCCTGCGGCGAGGGCCGCGGGCTGTGGAATCTCGCAAGTCACCTGGCCCCAGTAGGGCGGCCAGCTGAGGGGTTCATTTTATTTTATTTTATTTTATTTTATTTTATTTTATTTTATTTATGAAGTTAAGGCTGAATCTCGGCTTCAGTGCTTTTGCCAACGTCTCCATTGACAGGAACCGGCAAACTTCAGGACTTAAATGAGCGTCTTAATTTATTGATGCAAAACAGGTCTGCTTGTCGCCCCCAACTCTCGGCGCGCTCTGTTCCCCACACCCCCAGCTTCGGTCCCTCCATTTGATCTCAGGGTAAGGCCCCGCCGCACAGGCGAAGGAGCACGTTGGGGTGGGGGGAGTCGGCCCCCGCCCGCCAGCCCTCCCCCAGACCTGTCCGGGCCCGGGAACCCCGCGACCCCCGCCCCGCCGGCCGGTCAGCTGACCTGGCTCGCTCTCCTGCTCCCCGCCCGTCGCCCTGTTTCCGGTCCCCGGGGTCCGCGAGCTGCGCACGGAGAGGGAGCGGCTGCGGCCGGGAGGTGATGCTGGGGGCCGATTACCATGAGAAAAGCTGTGCCTGGAAAAGCCTCCTCTACGCCACCGTCAATCTCGCTAAGGGGGTGGGGGGTGGGGGGACGGAAAGGGGCCCTGTAGGAGTCACCAGAAAACTTGGAGTAAGTTGGATGCGACGCAGGCCCGAGGAGGTGGCTTTCGCCTCAACTTGGAAGGCTGGGCGTTCAGGGTGCGGACGCCAGCAGTCTCCCCAGAGAATTGAAAACCAAAATCTTTCCCTTCCTCCCTTCCTCCCTCCTTCCCTCCCTCTTGCCCTCCTTTCAGCCCTTCCTGCCCTTTATCCTTATTTTCTTGGAATTCTTTCCCAATTGCATTTCCTACATTCTCCTTTCTTTCTATCTGCTATCTCTCTTTTGCAATCTCTTGTTTTGTTTCTTAACATCGCGCCTTCTCCCTCGCACTGATTCTTTTCTGTCTCTTTTATGTGTACAGATATATCATTTCGTTTTAAAAACACGTTTAATATGTAATTAATCTACCAGCAGGAGGTCAGGGACACCCTGACTAAAATAACTCCCTGGGTCATCAGAGACCAAGTTCACCAGGTGTCAGTGAAAAGTAAAAAACAAAATAAGAATAGTAAAAATAAATAGAAATCAATATTCCGGTGATCATAATGGCTTCATATTCAGAATTATCATATCAGCTTAAACTGACTCCCCCCCCCCCCAAATGTAGTGTTCCTGGAAAAAATAGATAGTACTCCGTATAGGGAAATTCTTTAGAATGAAGGCAATGTGAAAAAATGTCTCGTTTACAGTGACATTTTAGGAGTGCTTAACAGACTTCAGAAATTATAGTAGGTAACTTAAAGAAACTTAAACTGTGCTTTTTCTTTTAATGACTACTTGGAAAGTGTGAAAAATTCCAAGGCACCTCCCCCCCACAACAAAGATTGATCAATTCAGAGAGAAACGTCATGTCATATATATTGTACACGCTAAGCAAATTCACAACTTGAGTTGTTGGGTTGTTCTCTTAGCCTGGCCTCATTACTGAGCAGGTGAATGAACACCGGGCTGCATATGTCTTGAATGTGGCTATATTTTTTGTTTTCTGTATTTTTTTGTCTTGCATTCATTTTGGGCACATTTGTTGTTCTCTTATTAAAATTCAGTGTTTGCACTTGTTTACAATTTGTTTAGTTTGTCGAATTTTTAAAACTTGTTAGAAGTCAATTGAACATGTATATTAAGCCCTCCTTAGGCCAAGAAAAATAAAGATGCATTAGAAAGATGCCTTTTATGCTTCATAATTATTAATTGACATTTTATGATGAATAATTAATCATTTGAATAATTTTGGTATCTCTGATCTGAACACATATTTGCATCTCTAATGCTTGATTTTAGCCATGTTTTTTAAAAAAATTCATCCTTTCAGGATGAAGAAACAAAGTAAGATTTTAATGTAAAATTTCTCTTCAGCACTTGTAAAAGTTTATTTATTGAGTTGTACTATTCTTTCTAGATATCCCTAAAGTTTCTTAACAATTTGTAAAACATTTATGTAGCAATCACATCCAAACATGTGACAAAACTACAATTAATTAGGAAAAACAATACCCTATGTAAAATCAAGTCACTCTCCTCCCCAAGTGCAGAGATGTGCACTAATTATGCATCATTTTCTTATTAGAATTTGGTCATTGAAATTTATGGTTATGTCTGTTTATACAGGTCAAAAAGTAGAAAATTGAAGCAAATGACAAATAATTCAGATCTGGTATTTAAGATAATTTTTCATTTTTTTACTTATTAATATATGGGCTGATTTAAAGTTAATTAGAAATGACTAAGCAAGCTATATCCCTGATATTTTTCTACCACTATGTCAATTAAAGTCCTAAGTATCTATTTTGAATACTAGCCCTACAGATTACTACCTGTGTGATTACAAGCAATTTACCCTAAGTTTTTTCCTTATCTACAATGTGGACACACTCATAGTGCCCATTCCTTAGCGTTTTATTGAAAATTAAATAAAGTAATGCATGAAACTTCATGTTAGCTTTATTTTTATAATGAAAAGTTTAAAAAATAACATGGAACATGCAGATCAGTTAAAGACAGTATAAATTAATTTTGACTACTAAAAACAACTATTTACATTTTAGTATCATTCATAATTTTTCTATTGAGAATGAGTGCTGTCATTAAGTAAAGAAATAAAATGAAAAGTATCCTAAGATTTACGGTTAATTTATGATTCTTTCGATCTGTTCAAAGGATGCGTAGTCACAGATGTGAAAATAAGTACAGCATTTCTTTATCCTGTTAGTTGGGCAGTCAACTTATTCAATATAGTCATAATTTGGTTATAAATATAAGACTTCTTGTAGCCCAAATGTATGAACTTGAAGTTTTTCATGTTCTTTAGTAACATATTGTCTTTGAGTGTAAGGGTTAAATGTGCAAAAGCTCAGAAGCAGTCTTGAGTAAGACTTGTGAGAAAAAAAGGGCAAACTTACAAATTTGGAGACCAGGAATTTGGCTGTCAGAGTACTGTTTGCTGTAAGACCATTCATAATGAACTGAGCATTCCCTTTTGGAATTGTAGTTATCCTGGGGTTTGCGCTAATTCCAAGTACCTATAGAGGGGAAGAAAATCAGTTTATTAAATGGAAAATGAAATTCCCTAGTCTCTTAAATGTCCACAAGGCCAGGTTTCCTTTTTGATGCAAAAGCTGAAAAATCAATGCAAATGCTAGGGGAAAAACTATTGTGATATTTAATCCCAATACCCTTAGCTTTTTGTTGTTGTTTTCTGTAAGACTCCTCAAAACGCTTAAAGGGTCCCTTAATTGTTTCCTTTCTCAAAGGATCCATTCCTTGCTCCTTGCAGGTCAGAACTACCAAAAGGGCCATTTGGACATCAGCCTAGGGGCTCAGAGTGGCCTGTACCTTTTTATTTTTTCCTTTTTAAAGGGAAATGAGACTAGAAATTATTTGCACCTACAGATTATCTAGTGACCTGGAAATAATTTCATGCTGCTTTGTGGTCTTCTTTAATAGTTCTTATTCTGTGAAAAAGTCACAATTGTAAACTTTGTACTCTACTCAGTTCTAATTTTGCACCATTCTAAGAGTGATTTTTTTTTTTTTTGCAGAGTTGTTTTAGGTACTTAAATATAAAAATCTTACTTTCGAAAATTATCCTCTCCATGATAATCTCAACTGTGAAATAATAATAGCTAAGAAAAAAACCTACTTCTAGAAAGTGGCCCTGTTGCATAGTGGTTAAGTCTGGCATGCTCTGCTTTGGTGGCCTGGGTTTGCAGGTTTGAATCCCAGTCGTGGACCTATACTACTTGTCAAGCCATGCTGTGGCAGTGACCCACATACAAAATAGAGGAAGACTGGCATAGATGTTAGCCCAGGGCTAATCTTCCTCACTGGAAAAATAAAAAAACCTGCTTCTCTAAGCCTGGAGGTTGTAGAAGTGACCCAGAGAGAATTGCTGCCTTTCCCTAGAATTCAAGTGTCTGCTTCTTTGTGGGCCTTTAAATCTTCCAGGTCTACCTTCATGGCTAACAGCATGTACATATGACATCCAACATTTTAATTTTCACGACACCCTTCTGAACCACTTGTGCCCACCCACTCTGTATACTGCATTGTGACCCAGTTCCGATCCTCCTGGATGATTCAGTTAGTACTTGTATGTCCACGTATGGCTTATATTGCCTTTTGGACCTAACGCTTAGGCTCATTTTTCCAGTTACAATATTGGCTCAGGTCGAATGCTCAGGTCAAATGCTTTCGCTAGGTTTGTTGCCTCTGGCTTCTCAGACAGAGTATGTTTCCTGGTTCGGTCTTCTCTCCAGGACCCTGACTTGGAAAAAGCTCCCGTGGGCAGACTCCTGCTAGCTCACCCTAGCCCCTGTGTTGGGCCCAAGCACAGGACAAGTTAGTGATGAAGGAGAGATCATGATACAGGCATATCTGGGAACTGTTTTTATTTCTTATACAATTTCTTTTATCATTTGTTGGCTGGGAACTGGACATCAGTGTATTTGATACTAGATTCTTCATATTCTCCTCAACGATAGCATATTACAGCAGCAAACATACAGGTTTTGGTATTAGATGAACTGGGTGTGATTTCCTACTTTGTGAGTACTAATTGTGTATTGAGGACAAGATATTAAACCCCTGTGAACTTCATTTTAAAAGAGAGAAAAAGCATACTTAAATTTAAGGTGGTTGTGGTGAAAAAATAAGACAAAGTAAAATGTCTGGTACAGGATAGGCATATCAATAAATAGGAATTCCTTCCCTTGAATTACCTAAAAAAATATGAATTATATTAAATTATAGAAAACCATATAGAGTGCATGTAGCATATATTTTTGGTGATGTTTATTTTATTTCATTGTAATTTAATTGTTTTATGATTTTATTAGGAATTATTTAACTAATTCTTGCATTACACAAAAATTAATGCTTACTGATAACAAAGTTAGAAAAGTAACATGGAATTTCTCAATTTGTAGTAGAAAAGGTGTGATGTTCATGATGCACTAAGCATCATGATACTAACTTCTGAGATGATAAATGTACTTTACAATTTGATTATGTATTTCACACTTGCGTTTACAATTGTAAGGAAAAAATATTTTTCCACGTAGTTCTCCCTATATGACCTGGCCAAGGAGGAAGCTCT